CAGTTTGGCAGAACAGAGGTGATAGACAACACCCTTAACCCCGACTTTGTAAGAAAGTACATCTTGGATTATTTTTTTGAAGAGAAGCAGAACCTTCGTTTTGACTTGTGAGTGAACACCTATTCTTGCATTTCCTTTTCCCTGCTCCCCTGTCCTCACTGTGACTCTGGGGTATATGCTGCTTACGTATGTGACTGGAAATCCAAAATGAGGCCAACAGAAAATAAGTAAATATGTAATTAAATACACAAAAGCATTTCTAAATATGATTTATAATTGACATGACCAAAAAAATTAAACCGAAATGCCCTTGCTCTCCTGGTGCTTATGGAAGAGATCACTGCCCTGCAGGATGATGTGTTACATACAGTGGCCACATTGTGTTATGTGTATATGTGTGCGTAAATGTACAGTGTGATAAATGAAAGGAATCATGTGATTCTGCTATCGTTCAAAATGTATCTAGGCTCTGATTTCAGCACCAAGGACAGCTCTTCAAACGTCAGCTCTTTTCAAAGAAAGAACACGATCATCATCCTTGAACATTTCTGGTGTTTTAATACAAAGTAGAGGTCACCTGACTTGTATGTCAGATAGTTGAACCAAATCAAATGTAGGAGTTCTTCTTTCCAAGTCTTTGGATTGTTATCCATAAGTGGATTTAGTGAGAATTATTTGTCTTATTGTGCTTAAAAATATGGATTTGTTTTTTTTTTTAAATCATCCCAAATAGTTTTTCTTGTTAATGTTTTACATTTTAAGGTTTGACAGAAAATGTTCTGGTTTTGATCCCCGGTAGTCCTCAGTTCTGTTGGTGTTACACAACAGTATCACCAAACCAAAATAATTAATAACATTTCAAAAACCCAGTCAAACTTTAATTACAAGATCATAACTTGGTATTCCTCAGAAAGGAAAACAAAGTCTCTTTTCCCTCTTTCCATTCAGGTATGACATGGACTCCAAAAGTCCAGATCTGTCCAAACACGTGAGTAGATGCAGGTTTAATTACTAAGCCACTGGAAACTATCATTGAAACTGTAATTGTCTTCATTTTGGCTGGTGGCTGCTGCATGGATTTTGCATGATGAAATAAAGCAAACCCTCTTTATTATTAGTCTGTTTATAGCTGTATGGAAATTAAATCTTTAATGTATGGACTATAACTTTTTTTTATGTAACTGATTTCCGTTCTGTATTTGTACATCTAATTTTTTCACTAGCCCTGTGGCTAAGGCTGCAATCGGTAGCAGATGACAGATGAAATTTCCTGTGATTTGTGACAAGTCAAAGAAAATTCAATTCAGAAATTCAAATAACAACATAAGATTATTGATGAGGATTGTTACTTGCAGCCCTAGTTGCCTATCAACGTGTCATGGCATTGATAGGCATGTCACATTAGGTTGCCGTTCAAAAACACAATGCTTCGTCAATTAGTTTCCAGTATAATGATGCATTCAGCTGCATTGTGCATGACCAGTTATTGTTTCATAATGTTTTTCAGGATGGAAACTCTTAAGACCACAAGCATTATTTTCCATCTTAAAATAATCAATCATAGTGATTATTTGAAGTGTTTAGATGATAAGGGTTTGCATTTTTTCATCCCCTTTGTTTTTGTTTTCTCTAAATGCTTTTATTTGTCTTTTTGTTTTTGCATCAGGTGTTGTTCTTCCTTTGTTCTAAGGTTGTTAGGTTTGGGTACAGTGCTGTGTTCTCGGTATATGATGTGCTCTGTTTGTTACTGTTGTTGTCGTTGTTGTTGTTGCTGCTGCCGCCCAACCTTTCTGGAAGCCTGCAGAACTCAACGTAGGTCCCAGAATCTCTCTCACTTCTGACACTGCATGGTCGCTCTCACTTCACACATCCTTCTACCAGAGAGAAGGACGGTGTCACTGATCCCACTGAAACAATAAACAGCCCGGAGTAAGCTATCTGTGCCGCTGATGATCCCTGAGAAATCCACAACAATCAAAATTCCCAAACATTGATGTGCTTTTGAAGATAAAAAGGAATATGTTCTAGAGTCTTTGATGTTGAAATTGGACATATCAGAGCAGAGAGGCTCCGAAGCACACAGTAGCCCAGTGCTGAATTATTTAGTATGTAAAACCTTGCTCGAGCTTGGATTTCCCCCTCATTCTAGCTGTGATTAGTTCAGACAGGGCTGGAATCAAAGATAAGTGGTTTACGTTTGTAAGATTTGTCAGACAAACCAGGTCTATTAAAAAAATTGATCAATACTAAGACATGACCTTCAGTTAAAAGTGTTACAAACAAGTGGCAAAACAAGGTTTTACATCCATGCCCTACGTGGTTTTCAATCTTGTTTCTTTCATTTTGCTTTATTTTTCTCTCCATTTGCTCACTTAGTTCCTTCCTGTATTAAATCAGTGGTTCCCAAAAAGAAGGTTGCAGTCCTAATGTGGGTCATGATTCTATTGGTCCAACCAAGACATAATGTCCTGTAAATGTAGTGTTTTGGGATTAATTAATGAAGTGAGTGATCCCCGGTGGCTGGGCTTTTCATCAGGAAGGGTACACGCTGTCGAATCTCGGCCAAATGATTGCACTAATTAATGCATAAACTGAAAGAAGTTCTATATGTGTATGTTATATTAAAGCCTATGATGTGTAAAAACACAACTATTAATCTACAACTGCAAAGAAGTTAAGAATTTAAAAAAGTAATGATCAGATTATAAAGATATAAATATATATAATAGCTTATATTTAAGTGTAACACTCTGTATGCAAATTGTTCAAAGAACTTTCTGTTGCTGATTCCATTTGTTCTCTATCTTCGTATTAATAATGCACAGTTCTTCAACATTGAATCCATACAGTATGTGGTACATATCGTAGCGTGCTTTGCATCTCTATAGGACCTTCATACAGAGAACCTTTAGAACATTCTTGAATTTCAAAGCACATTTAATCATAAGAACATGTAAAAAAATTTTTTTTTTTAAAGTACAAAAAAAAAACTGTAGCAGAGAAGATTTGCATTTTTTTTTAAAGTACAAAAAAAAACTGTAGCAGAGAAGATTTGACTGCCTTTAATAAGAGGCAATTTTGACTTCACTTCAGCTGCCATTTTGTTTGCTCCTGCACAACCTCGTGCTGTGGCTCAAGAAGAAGGCACAGAATCCATGTCACCTCGGGGCCAACAGCTGGATTGTAACCTGGTGTCTAATAGAACATTAGGTTCTTGAGACTCTTTGGGACTCACTGCTTTAAACCCTGAAAACCTGTTAAACCACTGCTCACCATAAATCCCCTCACAACCATGGCGACGGTTCAACAGAGTGCTTGAAAAGTGTAATGGCTGTTAAGGAGCTCACACTGACTGCCGGGTGGAGGAGGAGAGCAGGAGAGTAAGTGCTCCACACCTGACGGGTTCCGCCGTCTGCTCACATGGTCCTGACTGAGTCTGTGAAGGTTCCCAGTCATCCATGTTGTGGTTTCCTCATGAGTCTGGATGTAAGAAAAAAACTGGACTTTCTGGAATTTTTAGCTGACATTTCATCATCTACCCTCATTGGGAATTTAGAATAAAGTTCTTGCACCAAATCCTACCATTTCTTTCAGTTTTACACTTTGACTAAACTGAAGGAGTGAAAGCAAACCAGTATTAGCTTTCAAACACGATGAATTCCACGTGAATTCAATTAAGAGTTTCTTCACCTTTCTAACTTTTTTTCTCTCTCTTTCTTCCTCTCTGTTACCCCCCTTTCTCAGGACTTTCTGGGTCAGATGTTTTGTACACTCGGAGAAATTGTTGGATCACCAGCAAGTCGACTGGAGAAACCACTGGGGTAAGTAAAAAAATTAGTGCTTATTTTGATTATAATCGACAAAACAGTGGTGAGCAGTGGCTCCAGAAGCAAGAAAATGACTTTGGAGGCTGATGAAATGGTTATTTGTCAGTTCTGCTTATTTTTTAATGAAATGCTGTAGAAGTGTAAAAATGTGTCCGGTTGAGGTTGAAAAAAGAATTCAGCACAAAGAAACTTATTTGGTGCGACAGAAGACTTAGGATTGGAAATGAAAAAGAAGAAGCAGCACGTGTCAAAACAAACAAACAAACAAACAAACACTGATCTGACAGAGGAAAAGAAAAGGCCAAGGATGAGGAAACATTCCCCACAGGTGTTTTCTTTAGCAGTCCTTGAAGACTAGAAAGTGTGCATTAACACTATCGGAATTGATGCGTGTCTCCAGGACCGCGCTCGCTCATTAGCTGGGAATAAAAGCCCAGTGTTAATGGAGCTCTCCTTTTATCAGTCTTTCACCCACCGTCACCGTTATCATCAATCTCCAGGCAGTGAGAGTGAAAACATTTAAATGTTGCATTTGCTTCGATTTATCTGTTGGGTTTTATGTCTGTTGCAGCGGAGAACCATAAGAGGAACACTGGGATTCATGTCCTGCTGTAAACTCACCGTGTTCCATGCTGGAAGAATCACTTTTTATTAGTTTTATTAGTCAATTTCTTTTCCCTCCAGTGAATACATTTCCACACTTCATGTTACCCTGGGTTATTTCAGATAGTTAGTGCTTTATCTGAGAATCTGAGGTAAATCTGACTGCATTACATCACTGACTGCAGTGTATAGTGTGAATACAAATACATACATGGCTTTGTAAATGGAGCTGCCATTCAAATGTAACATGACAGGCGCTGAGTGTAACACAGGAGTCACTGACAGCTGGATGCAGCGTGGAAGCAGACGTGCAGCAGGCAGATATAAACATCTGGCTGCAGCGTTTTTCTCACTCATACCGTGATCCTGAGGAAGGAAATTGTTTTGCAGCCAGGTTCTACTGTGTTTCCATTTTTATTTAAGACAACATTAAGTATTCTCCTTGGAGTGAGGTGTAAACATGTGAGCTAGTTTTGTTTTGTTTTTTTCTTTCAAAGTAATGTTACACAGATTACAATAGCGCTGAGCACCCCTTAAATGATGGGGCTGTACTCCGCATCCAATCTTGTGCCTTAGTTTTATACATTAACTACAAATATATGATGAGAACTGCAGGTTCGAACGTCGGGATCAAACCCACAACCCTTTTGTTATAGACATCAGCACTTCCTACTACACTGCAGCCCCAAGTGCAGACAAAAACATGCCCCAAATTTTTCTGTGAACAATTCAGTTACTGAGGGAATTTACCTCATGATAACGCACACACACACTAACACACACACGTACACATGTACACGGACGCTCTCACACACAAACACCGTGGGCTGTGTTGTCTCTGTAGATTTGTTTGCAGTGTTTTTCCATCATTTCCCAATGAAGAGTGATTCATATTCAATTGCTGTGAAATGTCAAGGCATTTGTCTGAGCTGTTCTGGACCAGTGGAGAATGTATTCATATCATTTGTTTGTTTCAGCTTCTCATTTCATCTCTCGCAGCTCCGAGTTGTCAAAATGTTAATAATTTGTGGCACAAGTTAAAACATCTTTTGCGGTAAAAGATTTTAATATTTCCTAAACTGTTTATGGTAAACCCCTCACCTTGATTGATTATAGATAAACAAAAAAACATTTTGGTTTCCTTCTCTCTCGAGGATACTTGTGACGACTTTAATCTTCCAGGAGTGAATCTATTTAATTATGCAAATGCAGCATTCATTACAGGAAAAGAGGTTAGAACCAGGAAGAAAGAGAGACGTGGAAATCTGTTCAGACATTCAAAATGAGCTCGTCTCAGATAGACCTGCCGCTATTTGTTCTCAAACTATGGTAAGCGTACCACTGAATGGTACTTGGGCTCCCTCTATTGTTATCGGTAGTTCTTTTAATCTGCATTAAAAAAAACAACACAACACTGCACTCTCTGTGTGTGTGTGTGTGTGTGTGGAGATTTTGTTTAAATGCTAAGTACTTGTTTAGTGTGGCTTTGGCTTTTAAGGCTTTTAAACTTAACTGAACTGGTCTGTGCTTTTGTATTTTAATATTGGTCATTCTGTTACCTGGAGGAACATACAGGGGCCACTCATGGTCTATGAGGAGATTTTAAGTGTGTCATATTTATGGATCCCAGTGAATAATAATTGACAGAAAAAACCACAGCTCTTCCTCCAGCGTCCAGAGACATGCAGACCGGGGGTCCTTTGGACCCTCTGTTTAATTGGTTGTTTGTCAGTTGTTGAGTTGGGAACTGAGATGGATTTGTTTGGGACCAGTTTGCACCGATTGATCGATGGGACCCGGGGGATTTTCTTCATCTGCCCTTTACCCTTTGAAAAGCCATTGACAGTTGATGAATCAAGGCAGTAAACAAAGCGCCTGTCACATAAAAGACAAAGATATTACCTGGCTAAATTAGTGGTTGATTGCAAATGCGACCTATCAGTTACTTTCTTTCCAGTTTAAATTGTCATTACAAAAGCAGCTAAAAGGGAGCTTCGACCCTCTTATCTTTGATCTCTTGCGATTCCTGATGATGAAGAGTCCGAGGGTGAGGAAGTGAAAACCAATTAAATCAGCTGTATATGACGGTCATAAGAAGTACTCTGGCAACATGGCACAAATATCTTCTGTGTGAAAAAGCTTTCTAGAACCAGCTTGATTTTAAATCATCAACAAATAGAAGCTACAGCAGTTGGGTCTTTGAAGCTTCTAAGTGATTTGCAGCCAAAGGACAATCAGTGTTTTACACATTTCATCTCCAGGCCATCTGCACAAGTGTGTCCCTGTGTGTTCCTTGAGATAGAAATAGGGCGAGAGAGAGAGAGAGAGAGGGTGAGAGAGAGAGAGTTTCTGTGACAGTGAGAAAAAGTAAATGGAACACTTCCGTCAAACATGCACTTGTTTCATCCCGACATCAAAGGAAGCCGTTCTTTTCATGGCTGCTTCACATTGTACACGCCTCTGTCCCCACGGGCTTCAAATGCATATTTTACCACACAAATTCAAATTCACTTGCCATAAATATTTTCATAGAAACTCATTCAAACAGACGCTGCAGAGACTGCTCTTTTACATTAAGGTGGCGTTTTTAATTTTTACACTAAAACAGAAACGACTGCGAGAGATACAGCGAGTATTTCAGCTTCCTTCCTTCTGTAGAGTTGTGCCGTGTTATCGCACTTACACTTTCATTGTGGGTGATGTGAGATAGTGTTTGTCACTCATGAATATTTGACAGGTAAGCAGGAGGTGTAATTAACCCGTCATCTGCACAACATGGGTCTTAAGCCATGATCAAAGCCATCATCATCCAAAAAATAAGTTATCATTTAACGCTTGGTCAATAATTATATCATACAATATTATATTTATTTTTATCCATGACAGAGAGCAGCTGTGATTGTCTGTATCCAGTTTTATCATGAATTTAAGTTTTACACTTCCTATTTGAAAAAGTGCAATGACCTTTGACCTGGAAACCACGCTTCGACCCACATGTCTTGGTCTTCCCACCATTCAGGCCTGAAGTCCTCCTAAAAACCAATAAAACAATAGAGATAGAGATAGTAATGTTGTAAGAATGCATTATTATTATTATTATTAAAGTTGAGTTTCGAGTCCACCAGCTGAGGTGCTCTGTACCTGGCTCCGTCCACACACACACTGCTGCCCACTGTTCACTTTGGTGATGGGTTAAAGCAGAGGTCACATCTGGTTGTGTGCAGTGGTCAGCTGTGTCACAATGATAAGGAGTTTACTTTCCTTCCTCCCTCCTTCCTTATGATGCCCAGTACTTTATAACTCATCCAAGAAGGAAACTTTTAGTTACTCCTGCTTTAATTAGTCATAGTTCTTCTACTGCTTATTAGACGCTCCTGAGGTGGTCCCCGTTCCACCACGGTACACAGGCGCCCCGTCCTGAAACTGACCCTTATCACCACAGTTCTCCAGAACCCACAGAGAAGCTGTGCTGCAGCAGATGGTGGTTGAAGGACACACCCAGGGGACCGCTGTGGACGAGCTAGAAATAATGCTCTGCTCATTAGTTTCCTGTGACTACGATTCAAACATTTGGGCTAAAACTCAGAGTAACTCAACGTGCAGCGGTGGAGCTGCTCGTTGTTCTTACGTCTGAAATATATTTTCCTAAATGTCAGGTGTGATGATATGCCTCTGTGTGTGTGTGTATGCACAGGCGGGACTCTCAGCTGGGTCTGACACCAAACAAAGCCTGACAACACGACCTCGGCGCGTCCTCCTGCAGTGCCCACGGCTCCTGTGGGGGATTGTCCACCATAGAGAAGTTGTTGTTCAAGGATCATAGCAGTTGTGCTTCGGCCTCAGAGGTGTGAGGAGAACTATATCAGTTCACATATTTCATTGCCATTTCAGGATTTGAATGATATTCTGGTCCATTTGTAAATCTCTCTACACGATGAGAGTTGCTTTCACAAATTCCAAACGCGCTGTTTTAGTCTTAGCAAATATATGTATAAATATGTATGAAAATTAGGATATGTGATTATAATAATATCAAATCGATTGTTTTAATCTTCCATTTGATACTTTTTTTAATCAAGCAGTGTGTTCAGTATTTTGGAGCTGACCATTCTTCAGGTAGACGTACCATATTCTTATGGGAGCATTCCAGAGAACGCCTTAGCCATGAAATATACATCGCTCCTTTTCACACTTGTCTCTCTGTATCATTTGGATGGATGACTTTGTGTTTGTATCTGTGTGTTATCTCCACTGCTCTGGTCTGTCTGATTCTTCACAGTTATCACAGCATTGTTTCTGCTGCTTTTCACTCTGTGCTCCAAGTCTTTTTCTAATGACAGATAAAGAAACTCTTGCATCACACAGGACTGGTTCTCCACAGTCTACCAGCT